TTATCTATCTATCTATCTATTTATAGAGGTTAAACCGCACGAGCTAACGGTTTGTGCACTCATCTAACCGGTCCATGCCCATCTGAAGTTTGTCTTCGTCGGCAGGGCCCAGAAACACAATCCATATCTTCATGTCGTCGGCAAACATTACTGCTTCGCGATCCAAAGCTCTCGCTTAATAGTCCGGGTATATTAGGAACCAAATGGGTCCCAGTATTGAACCCTTGGACACACCACTGTCGACCACAGCGGGATCTGACTTAACTTGACCGATGCACACAACTTGGTGTCGACCCAAAAGGAAGTTTTCGAACCATTTAATGAAGTTGCCAACGATATCAACTTTTTTAGTTTATGTAAGAGCCTCTCATGTGGCACGGTGGACCGCGTGCCTGCCATCGAGAGCTCGAGTCAAGCTATGGAGAGACTGTAGCAAGTTTGCCATGCAGGATATTCCTTTCCGGAACCAATGTTGGCATTTCGATAGCAGACCGTGAACTTCCAGGAAATATATCAGTTCCATCTTTATGATCCTTTCCATAACTTTGCAGAGAATACATGTCAAACTTACGGGCATGTAATTTGTCGTCGATGCCCTTCTACCTCCTTTGTATAGCGGAGTAATATGCGCCAGCTTCCAATTGATTGGATGTGTTCCAGTGTCAAATGACGTTTGAAGGAGTATCGACAAAGGCACTGAAAGCTCACTGGCAAGTTCCTTGACAAGCTTGGGTGGGATCTCGTCTAGTCCTGGCGACTTCGATTCGTTCAGTGCCTCTAATTCTCTTCGGACAAAGCCTTCTGAAAAGAGTATATCACTGGCGCTTGGGGTCGGCAGTGCGTCTGTGGAGAGAGGAAGGAACCTTGCCTCGTTTGTGTAGACTGATTGGAAAAACTATGAAAAGTACGCAGCTTTGTCCCTACTATCAGCAATCTCAACGCCATCAGTAGTCCTTATTAAGGGGGCTTGATGCATGTTCCTTGTACTTCTTCGGAGGTAGCTGTAGAGTAATTTTGGGTTCTAAATTGATTTTTGTAGCAATTTCTTCTCGAATTCTCGCCGCGTTTTTAAAGTAATTTTTCTGAGTTTGTTCTTCTGTGTATTGTAGGTGTTGAAATACTCAACTTGCCTAGTGACGCAGTATTTTCTCCACAATTAGTGCTTCCTGTTGATCCCTTTGTTAAATGTATAGATAGATAGATAGATAATTTTTATTAAAGACCCGTCGGGGTCCCATCAAAGCAAGTTAAAATAAATTTGCATGCGAGTTTTAGACGAGGTAGGCCGAATCTTTACAAAATGCAATTCCTAGTTTCTAAATTAGAAGTCCATTGAGAAACATGATGAATGAGGTGTGAAAAAAACTCCTTGAAAAAAGTTAAAAATGATTGGAATAATTTTACAGGAGAAAAAAACCCCTCTTTAAAAATAATAACAGAAAAAAGCGAGCAGGACTGGCCTGTAGGTGGCGGTATATAACGGAATGTTTTCGGTCATCATCAGGGTAGCAATAAATGTCCGCCTTGATGGGTACGAATGTG